AACCTCCAGGACATCTTTAAATGCTCCAACATCCGAATTATAGGGATACCAGAAGGGGGAAAGGCACAGCCACCAGTGGAAAACTTATTTGAACATATAATAAAGGAGAATTTCCCCAATCTGGCAAAGGAAATAGACTTCCAGGAAATCCAGGAAGCTCAGAGAGTCCCAAAGAAGTTGGACCCAAGAAGAAACACACCAAGGCACATCATCATTACATTAGCCAAGATTAAAATGAAGGAGAGAATCCTAGAAGCAGCAAGAGCTAAGGGGACAGTCACCTACAAAGGAGTCCCCATCAGACTGTCAGCAGATTTCTCAAAAGAGACCTTACAGGCAAGAAGGGGCTGGAAAGAGGTATTCCAAGTCATGAAATCCAAAGACCTACAATCAAGATTGCTCTATCCAGCAAAACTTTCATTTAGAATGGAAGGACAGATAAGGTGCTTCTCAGATAAGACCAAATTCAAGGAGTTCATCATCACCAAGCCCTTATTATATGAAATGTTAAAGGGACTTATCTAAGAAAAAGAAGTTAAAGAAACATGAACAGTGAAAGGACAGCAAACTCACAGTTATTAACATCCACACCTAAAACGAAAGCAAACTAAAAGGACAGCTAGATCAGGAGTGGAAACATAGAAATGAAGATCTCAAGGAGGGTTAGCAACAGGGGAGTGGGAGGAGGAGATGGGGGGAGAAGGTACAGAAAATAAGTAGCATAGACAGTAGATAGAAAATAGATGGGGGGCAAGAATAGCATGGGAAATATAGAATCTAAAGGACTTGAGACACATGGTCATAAACTAAAGGGAGGGTAATGGTGGGGATGGGGGGTAGGGTGGAGGGGAATGAAGGGGGAATAGAACAACTATAACAGCATAATCAATAAAAAAATTTTAAAAAATTGTCTTGAACTGAACAATTAAACTGCTTTAAAATAAATTAATTCAAAAAAAAGGTTGAAACATACAATTTCGATACACAAAAATCAATTGTATTTCTACATACTGGCAATGAATAATTAGAAGTTAAAATTTGAGAACCAATACTATTTACAATGGTATTTTTAAAATGGTGAAGAGCCTAGGTATGTCTCTGAAAAAAATGTTACAACATCTATATGAAAACTCAAAAATTGCTGAGAGAAATTGAAGAAGACCTATATAAATGGAGAGATACATTGTGTTGTTGGGTTTTAAAAACCAATATTTTTGAGACAGGAATTCTCTCAAAATTGATTTCTAAATCAATTATTCAGGGCAATTTATAGCAAAATCCCAATATGGTTTTTTGAAATATTGATTTCTAGATCATTACTCAGGGCAATTTATAGCAAAATCCCAGTATGGTTTTTTGAAAATACTGAAAAATTGAATCTAAAATTTCTATGAAAATGCAAAGACCATAGAACAGCCAAAACATATTTGAAAAAGAACAAGTTGAAGGACTAAAATTACCTGATTTTAATAATTATTATAAAGTTGCAATAAACGAGCCCGAATAGCAGCTGCTCTTTTGAGAAAGAAGAACAAAGTAGGAGGGATCACAATACCTGATATCAAACTGTATTACAAAGCCACTGTAATCAAAACAGCCTGGTACTGGCATAAAAACAGGCACATAGACCAATGGAACAGAACAGAGAGCCCAGAAATCAACCCAACCCTCTACAGTCAATTAATATTCGACAAAGGGGGCAGTAACATAAAATGGAGTAAAGATAGCCTCTTCAGCAAATGGTGTTGGGAGAACTGGACAGCTACGTGCAAAAAAATGAAACTTGAGCACCAACTTACACCATACACAAAAATAAATTCAAGGTGGATAAAAGACTTAAATATAAGCCATGACACCATTAAAGTCCTAGAGGAGAACATTGGTAAGAAAATCTCAGATATTCCACGCAGCAACTTTTTTACTGATATGTCCCCTAGAGCAAGGAATATAAAGGAAAGAATAAACAAATGGGATCTCATCAAAATAAAAAGCTTCTGCATGGCTAAAGAAAACAGTATTAAATTAAAAAGACAACCAACTGTATGGGAAAACATATTTGCCAATGATACCTCAGACAAAGGTTTAATCTCCAAAATATACAAAGAACTTACACGACTCCACTCTAGGAAGACATCGAACCCAATTAAAAAATGGGAAAAGGACTTGAACAGACACTTCTCTAAAGAGGACATACAGAATATCCAGAGACACATGAAGAGATGCTCAATATCGTTAGCTATCAGAGAGATGCAAATTAAAACCACAATGAGATACCACTTTACACCAGTCAGGATGGCTATAATAGACAAAGCAACAAACAACAAATGTTGGAGAGGGTGTGGGGAAAAGGGGACCTTAGTTCACTGTTGGTGGGACTGTAGACTGGTACAACCATTATGGAAAACAGTATGGAATTTTCTCAGAAAAATAAAAATTGACCTGCCTTTTGACCCAGCAATTCCACTGCTAGGATTATACCCCAAGAATCCTAAAACATCAATTTCAAAGAACCTATGCACCACAATGTTCATAGCAGCACAATTTACAATAGCCAAGAGTTGGAAGCAACCTAGGTGCCCATCAGTAAATGAATGGATCCAAAAATTGTGGTACATATACACCATGGAATTTTATGCAGCAGAGAGAAAGAAGGAGGTACTACCTTTTGCAACAACATGGATGGAACTGGAAAGCATTATGCTGAGTGAAATAGGCCAGGCATTGAAGGACAAATACCATATGATCTCACCTTTGACAGGAAGCTAAAGAATAAAACAAACAAGCAAACAGAATAAAAACAAAGACGCTGAAATAGAGAACAAGTGGGCAGCGACCAGAGGGGAGAGGGAAGGGAACTTAAGGGGAAAAAGGGGGAGGGATTTTGAGGAACAAGTATGAAAGACACAGAGATGAGGACTGGGGGGGGGGGAATGGGAGGGAGGGGGGAGATCAGGCGGGGTGGGGAGAGAAAAAAATGTACTTGAAAAGTAACTAAATAAAAAATAAATAAATAAATAAATAAATAAATAAAAATAAAGTTGCAGAAATCAAGACTGACATTGGCATGACAATGGGCAAATACATCAATCAGACAGAATAGAGAGTTTAAAAATAGACCCACACATACATGGACAACTGATTTTCTGCAAAGAAGCAAAGGCAGTTCAGTGGAGAAAAATAATAGTCTCTTCAAAAGCTGGTGATAGAATGATTAGATATACATATACCAAAAATAGTGCACTTTGATTCATACCTTGAACTATATACAAAAGTTAAGTGAATATAAACCTACATGTGACATCTAAAATTATAAGCCATGTAGGAGAAAATCTTTGTGAACGTGGCTTAGGCAATGATTTCTTGCATTTGACGTCACAATCCATAAGAGAACACACTGATACACTGAATCTTGTCAAAAAATGAAAACGTCTGCTCTTCAAAAGGAGAGTGGAAAACAAGCCACAGACTGGGAAAAAGGTAGTTTTAAGTCATATCTGATGAAAGACTTGTGTCCAGAATATATAAAATATTTTCCAAATTCAATAATGAGAAAACAAGTTGTGAATAAAGGCTGTACCGAAGAAGATGCACAGATGGTAAATAAGCACGTGGGAAAAATGCATTAGGCAAATGTAAATTGAAACTGCATTGTAATGCCTTTAGTCACCTGTTAGATGAAAACAAGCGAGTGAGGATGTGGAGGAATAGAGCTCTAAGACTCTGCTTGTGGAAATGTAAGCTAGGCGCTTTGGAAAACATACAGGCAGTCTATCTTAGAAGTTAAACATATATCATATAATGTAGTCATTCCACTCCTAGGTATGTATCCAAGAGAAGTGAAAGCATATGCCCATACAAAGATGTGTACAGATGTTCATAACAGCTTTATTTGTAATGTCCATCATCAATGAATGTATGAACAAACTGTGGTTTCTCCATATGATTGAATATTACTCAGCAATATAAAGAACTATGATACATGCAGTGACATGGAAGACTCTCAAAACAGTTATGCTCAGTGCAAATAGCCAGACAACAAAGAGTACATACTCTGTGATTCAATTTATATAAAATTCTAGAAAATGAGAACTAAGTCACAGTGTCAAAGTGTTGAAGGAGGGATTGTGAAAGAGCATAAGGAAATTTGGGGGAAGATAAGCATAGGTTCATTATTTTGAATCCAGTGATGGTTTCAAGGGTATCAGAACTTATCAAAATTGTATACGTTAAGTATGTGCAGTTTATTTTGTCAATCATACCTCAATAAAGCTGTTTGTGTGTATACGTGTGTATATATGATTCTCATGTGTCAGTATGAAACTAAGTCCATGATGTAGTAAGCGAAGAGTAAGTTCCAGAACATTATGTATAATTTGACCTCAGATTTTTTTTTTAAAACTAATCAATAAGAGTTGTGACATTCTTACCTCTGACTGTATATTTTGTGTGTGTGTAGGTCTGGTGCTTTACACCACCATGAATAGTGGTTATCCCAGGGAATGAGATGTGGTACCGGACAGGGGGGTGATATATACGTATTCAACACTGAGCTGTTACCACTTTTGTTATTTAAAAGTGTCCTTTCAAATATTTATATATTAATAAGGTGGTGCGCTTCATGGGGAGAAACAAACCACTCATGCATGGCCACTTACTGAAGCTGACCGACTGTTTTACCTCGCGAGGGGTAAGAGCGAATTAGTTGAAGACCAACAGAGAGACACCTTGCACTCACTCGCCAAGGGTCCGCCCCTGGCCCTCAGCAGGCGTGAGTGGGAGCACACTGGTCTCCCTTGAAAAATGGAGCAGTGCGCGTGCGTGGCGGCCTGGGGGCGGGGCGGGCCAGTGAGACGCCCCCAGACTTCGGGGTTCTCGCCAACGACGAAGCGCTGCCAGCTGGGGGCAGCCACCGGAGCGCGGATCCGGCTGGTCGGCTCCCGCCAGCCAACGCTGGGGCGCGCGCGCGAAGACGCGCGCGCAGTTGTGTGTTTAAAGGCAGCATTTCCTTCTGGCGGTCGCGGTGGTCTTCGAGGAGTTCGCCTCGGCGGACTTCTAGGAAGCTGCGGGCCGGAGTCGGGGTCCAGCCTCTCTGTCAGGTGGGCGGTGACTTGGAACGGAGGCGTCTACGGTCAGCTCGCTCTTGGAGAGCAAGGAGGCGTGACCTGGCATTCCCAGCCACCGGAGACGTGAGGTGCAGGGTCCCCCAAGGCGCGACCCCCATCTCCGGCCCTGAGGCCAGAGGTGCCTCGCAAACTCCCCGCCTCCCCACCCCTGCGTTCGCGCTGCTCCGAGGTCGGGGGCGGGGGGTCAGTGGGGCTCTGCAGCCCCAGTTCTCGTTTCCTCCGCGGCGTTTTTCTGCAGGGCGAGCGCAGACCCGGGGTCCCCGGGTTCAGGCATTTGCTTGCCGTCTGGGGAAGGGGGAGCGGGAGCCTAGAGGGACTGGCCGTATCCCTGCGTTCGCTGGCCGCCGGAGGGTGTGCCGTGCAGGAGGTGCAGAGGGACCGCTGGGACGCGGTGGCTTCAGCGGCAACCCTTCTAGTACTTTGCAGGACGATAGTGTGAGAGTTGGTACGTAGGCACGGAGAAGTAAAAGTCCGAGAGGAAAGTAGTTGCAAAAGCCCTGCCTGAGAGTTGGAAGAATCTAGACTCTTTAAGAGGGATTGGTTTTATCTTTGGCTGGTGTGCCCAGAAAGAGTCCCCAGACTATGAAGCGGAATAAGTTAGGATTATATTCTCTTAGCAGAATGTTGCAAAATGCTGTCCTGAATCATCTTTACTGGTCGTTAGACCCCTTAGTCTGTCCTCGCTACCCGCTTTCTTCCAGAGTCCGGGAGGAGAGAGCTGAGGTCGCCCAATTCAAGTTCTGTGCAACTCCCTCTTGCCTCTCAAAAGGTGTTTTGAATCCAAATACATTTTGAAAACTTCAGTTTCTCATATGAGTCATTTAATTTTTTTAATTATTTATTTTTAGAGAAGGAGAAAGAGGGAGAGAAACATCAATGCGGGGTTGCGTATTGCGGCGCCCCCTACTGGGGTCCTGGCTTGCAATCCAGGCCTATGCCCTGACTGGGAATCTAACGCAAGACCCTTTGGTTTGCAGGCTGGCACTCAATGCACTGAGCCACACCAGCCAGGGCCTCATATGAGTCATTTAAAAGCAAACCTACCCATTCTAAACTTAAAGGATTAAAAAGATAAATACATCTTGATATCACATGGAGGCTTTCGAGAGAGTGGAGAAATTTGCTAAATCACTGATAGAAAGTAAGAACACCAAAAAGCTGGCAATCACTGCTTTCAAAAAAAATGAGTTTGACATAAATACTAGTCTTTTGTCTTTGTTGAGACTTTGATGATATCATCATTTGACTTTCACATTTAAAAAATGGTAGATTTTGGATTTAGAAAGGAACTTAGAGGTGATGTGGGATGCAGAGAACATACATGTTTAACACCATTCCTAAAAAATCACGTTTTTTTCTCTGTTTGGGTTATATTTAGTAGGAGGAGGTAAACTTGAAGACTATGTGTTTTAAAGCTGGATTTTGGAGCAAATCTTCAGCGTTCCTGTCCAGGCCACACCTCTGATAACTGGGGTTTCAGACCCCATCAGCCTGTGGTGGCAGCAATCTGATTTCTCAGTGTGCCCCTTTGGAAAGGAACTTAAAAAAAGGACACTTGCTGACTTCTTCCTGCTCATTTTCATTTTGCTGCTTCCAACAGATTTGTTTAGCCTTTTAGATACTTTTGAATCTTTATTCTGTTATCTGTGGTATTTATGCAACATTTCTAGTGTTGTGGTGATGGAAAACTCCACACTTTTAAAAGTACTTTCTGTATTCATGTAAACCATCTGGAAGAACCTGGTGATGGTGCAGAAGATAGTTGCTCCCATTGCTGCCACCAGCTTGGCTTTGGATGTTTACTCTTTCATCTAATGTCTTTGACTATCGTTCCCTCGAGAATACTGTGGGAGATTTCTTACTTTTAAAAGATTTTATTTATTTATTTTTAGAGAGAGGGGGAGGGAAGGAGGGAGAAAGAGGAGAGAAATATCTCTGTGTGGTTGCCTCTTATGTGGCCCTCAACCCAAACATGTGCCCTGACTGGGAATTGAACTGGTGACCCTTTGGTTTGCAACCCATGCTCAGTCCACTGAGCTACACCAGGGAGGGTGGATTTCTTACTTTAGAGGATCTGATTCACATGGTCACCTGATCCACCAAATTAGTAAACATATCCAAAAGAGGAAATTGGGTTAGGGTAGTTAGTGAAGCCACTAAGTGGACTTTGAGTCATTACACTCTCTCAAATGCTAGTAAACCTATTCTGTACTCTAGAATTGTGCTAAATATCACTGTGAGCTTGCTCATCTCTCCCTTTTTGGAAGTATGGCTTATTACTTGATGGGACCCTGTATTCTGATTTTGTCTTCTGCCAGCCCTCACAATTCCTGATAGTGACTCTGAGACAGCAGTCAAGTTCCTTCAGCAGTCAGGTAAGTAATTCATCTGATCCCGAAGACTCCAGTGAACTAATTTGAGAAAGATACTTGTTTTGCTAGACAGCAAAGTCTTAGGGATCTTAGGTAGTGACTCTTTATTTATATATCCTTATTAGGTTACTTCTTTATTTTCTAGTATAAAGAATGGCCTGCAAACATAAAAGTAGCCCCATTGATAACTTAATATAGAAAAGATTCTGCAGTGAACAAAATTGTATGTCATCTGATTCGGGGAATACACATCACTCGATGACTTTCTCTTATTTGTGGTGTTCGTCTAAATGTGTGCCTGATAGCTCCTTTCTCCTAGTTCTGCAGTGGAATGTAAAGGAGAGAGAGCCAACCTTGCTGTTGTCTGGAAAATAGTGGTTTGGATAATAGCAGAACAGATGGCAGTGGAGGATATTAAATTGTAGATACTGGTCTCTAATATGTTCTCCCTGTCTTGTCCTTCAAAGCTCTGTTTTAGGAATAGGGTTCAGAAGGAGGTTGAGAGCTGGCAGGTGGTAGTAGAAATTTAAAAGAAGTTGTTAGTTGCTTAACAGGTTGCTTCTTCCACCTCCTGTATGTAATTTAATTGGGCTTACAAAAGTCATAGAATGCATTTATTTTTTTACTTTATGACATTTATTCATGATGCCATGGCAGTGAGTTTTATCATAATGTAGATGAGTTATTATTTTCTTCCATGTCCATAAACTGCTCCTAAATCTAACAGGTAGCTGTGCCTAAAACTGGCCAGACTTCAAAGAGAATATGAATGAATCAAGTAAGAATGAGTCAATTCTATCTGTCAACATAAGTGAAAAATTTAAAAACCAGAGGAATATGTGTTCTACTAACAGAAGGCTAGTCAAACAAACTTTATTCCTATGGGAATGTTAAGTAATAAAAGTTTTATCTGTTTATTTAATTATTAGGTTGGCCAAAAGTCCCTATGGCTTTTTCCATAAAATAAAAGACACATTTTTCATTTTCACCAATAACTTACTGATTTGGATATTTTGAGAATGTCAGCTATCTCCTGGGTGGTATAACATTGATTGTTCTCAATTTATGTCTTGATTTGATCACTATTAACTTCAATTGGTCTGCCTGACCATGGAGCATCATCCAGAGAGAAATCTCCAGCACAAAACTTTGCAAACCACTTTTGACACACTTGATCAGTCATAGTATCTTCTCCATACACTGCATAAGTCATTTTTTTGTATTTCAGTTGCATTTTCACCTTTCTCAAAATAATAAAGCATAAGATGCTGAAAGTTTTGCTTATTCCATCATCAATATGCAAGTGGCTACACAAAAATTCAGTTTTGATAAGTTCACTGACACTAAAGCTGTCACAACACAACTTAACAAAATAATTTAGAATGAAGTTAAATACAACTAAGTACTACTAGAACCATCTTATGGGCAAAAAACAAAAAAAAATTTTGGCCAACCCAGTATTACAACTGTAGTAGTATTTATTATGTGCTTCTAAAAACTGGAGCTAAATGATTACATGGCCTATTAACAAGTAAATGTAATCACGGACTACCTTAAATTTTTTGTAGTATCTCTCAATATGTGTTCACTAAAATGTAAATTTTCAGAGCCATTTGGCTGTTTGGTCTACTGCCTCCTATTTTATTTTAAAGCACCTTTTTTATATTTTAATTTTTTCAAAATTTCAGTATAATTTAATGTCTTACTCTATTTTTTCACATTTTGTCATCGTTGTTCAAGTACAGTTGTCTCCATTTCCCCTCCACAACTCCCCTTTAAAATGATATTTTATTGATTATGTTGTTACAGTTGTCCTGATTTTTTCCCTTTGCCCCCACTCCACCCATCACCCCCACTCCATCAGGCAATCCCCCCACCCTAGTTCATGTCCACAGGTCATGCATATAAGTTCTTTGGCTACTCCCTTTCCTATACTGTACTTTACATCCCCATGGCTATTCTGTACCTACCTATTTGTGCTTCTTAATCCCTTCACCTCTTTACCCATCCCCCACACCCCCTTCCCATTTAGAAACCATCAAAACACTCTCCGTGTCCATGATTCTGTCTCCATTTTTCTTGTTTGCTTAGTTTGTTTTTTAGGTTAAGTTGTTGATAGATTTGTATCTTTTACCATTTTATTCTACATAGTTTTGATCTTTTCCTTAAATATGTCCCTTTAACATTTTATATAATAGTTTGGTGACGATGAACTCCTTTCTTTTCTGAGAAGCTCTCTATCTGCCCTTTGATTCTAAATGATATCTTTGTTGAGCAGAGCAATCTTGGCTATAGGTCTCTGCGTTTCATGACTTTGAATATTTCTTGCCAATCCCTTCTAACCTGCAGATTTTCTTTTGAGAAGTCAGCTGACAGTCTTATGGGAACACCCCTGTAGGTATCTAACTCCTTTTCTTTTGCTTTTAAGATCCTCCCTTTATCTTTAACCTTTGGCATTTTCATTATGATGTGTCCTGGAGTGGGCCTCTTTGCATCCATCTCATTTGGGACTCTGTGCTTCCTGGACTTGCATGTCCGTCTCCTTCACCAAATTAGGGAAGTTTTCTTTCACTATTTTTTCAAATAGGTTTCCAATTTCATGCTCTCTTTTCCCTCTTTTTGGCACCCCTATGATACAAATGTTGGATCTCTTGAAGTTGTCTCAGAGGCGACTTATACTATCCTAATTTTTTTGGATTCTTTTTTTCTTCTTGTTGTTCTGATTGCTTGGTTTTGGTTCCTTATGTTCCATATCATTGATTTGATTCTCATTGATTTGATACTATTGTTTCCCTGTAAATTGTTCTTTATTTCAATTAGTGAATCCTTCATTTCTGACTGGATCTTTTTTATGCTATCAAGGTCCTCACTAAATTCCTTGAGCATCCTTATATTCAGTGTTTTGAACTCTGTATATGATAGATTGATTATCTCCATTTTGTTTAGCTTTTTTTCTGGAGTCTTCGTCTATTCTTTCATTTGGGCCATGCTTCTTTGTCTCGTTTTGGCCGCCTCCCTATGTTTGTTTCTATGTGTGAAGTAGAACTGCTTTGACTTTGTGTCTTGGTAGTGTGGCCTAATGTAGTAGGTGTCCTGTAGGGTCCAGTGGCACAGCCTCCATTACCACCCATGCTGGGTACTCAAGGTGCGCCCTTTGTGTGGGCCGAGTACACCCTCCTCTTGTAATTGAGCTTTGGTTGCTGTTGGAAGCAAAGCTCCAATCCCAATGAGAGGGATTTACCAAGGCCAGTCAGCTGCAGGGCTGCTGACCACTGACCACCAACCACTGATGGCTATGACCACTGACCACCAACCTCTACCCTCCATGGAGTATCAGCTGTGCAGGGGCAGGGTGTTGGTGCTCTGATGTGGTCTGTAGATGTCCACTGGGTGCACTGGCCCTGGGGTGTCCTGACTGTTGCAGGCCAGTATCAGCCCCAGCCTGTGTTTTGCCTGGGGCACCCTGCCTGAGCCCTAAAGCAATCTGAGATGGCTGATACTTGTGCTGGGCTTGGAGATTCCCAGGTGAAGACAAACTGTGAGTCTAGGCTGGCTGCTGCTAGTGCTGAACCTGGGGCTCACTGAAGCCAGCTGTTGCTTGTTCAGCAGGATTTAGGAAATTGTGAAGCATGAGCCAAGACCAGTCATCCATATGGAAAAGCAGCTTGGGTGGGCCTGTAAATTGGATGGGGTAGAGTCTCTAGGGACCCGAAAGGCCAGTTAAATAGTGTTAACCAGTTTGATGGAGTCTCAGATATGGCAACAGCTTGTTGGCTCTGTGGGGAGAGGGTTAGAAGAAGGACAACGGCCTCTGCTCACCTTGATGGCAGACACTTCAGTGTCTCCCTGTATACCACTGATGACTTTCAAACTGCTACCCTGGTGCTAAAGCTCAAAGGGAGTGAGTCTGAGTAGGTGAGTCCATGTGTGGGTTCTTTAAGAGGAACTGCTTGGGACTCCAGAAGTTTCTTCCACCACTTTAATCCCCACTAGTTTTTGCAGCCGAAAGTTGTGGGGACTTTTCTTCCTGGCACTGGAACCCTGCTCTGAGGGGCCTGGTTTGGATCTGGAACTCCTCGCTCCTTAGATATTCCTTCCAAATTTTTATCTACCACACGTGGGTTAGGGGCCAGCCTATTCCGTGTCTGACCCCTCCTACCAGTCTGGGTGGATGCAGTTCCTTCAACTCTGTAGTTGTTGGACTTGCATTCAACTTTATTTCTGGTGATTCTGACTTATGGTGGTTCTACATTGTAATTGTAATTTTGATGTAGTTGTGCGAACAGACGAGTCCTGTCTGCCTACACCACCGTCTTGACCAAAAGTTCCCTGCATTCTGTTTTAGTAGAGTTTCAAGTATAATTTCTGGCAAGTGTTGCAATATTTCCACTAACCAGGCTAGATTTTTTTTTGACAGGTTTACTTCTGAGTAAGAAAAAAGTAGTTTGGTAATTGATAATTTCCTAACAAAAACTTTCAATATACACAGTGATACATCTAAATATCCTAAGTTTCAAAATTACTGGATTTTTATTTACACATTCTGATAAATGTGTTTTTATGGTGTTTCACCAGCCTAGGAAGTGAAATCACATGAATGTGGGCGAGTACTCCATGGCAGCGGTTACTTCATCCATTCATTCACTGTGAACTGTAACCTGGAAGCCTTCTTTAGGTAGAAAGTTGGTAGTTTGATAAAGAAATGATCAATTTCTAAAAGTGATCATACATGTTTAAGCTGGAATTTTTGTATATTTTCAAGCTAACAATACTCATTTTTTTTGCATTCTAAAATGTAGTTTACTAATGCTCACATGCTACAAAATTATTTTATATGAAATTTATGATTTCTTGGTGAGTTTTATGGTCTGAAAGCTATCATATTTTGCTATGTATAATGTGTACTTTTTTGCCCAAATTTTTGAGAGAAAAATAAGGATATGCATTATCCACGGGTAGTACTAATTCTGTATTTACATAAATATTTTTAATTCTTTTATTTATACTTATTCATTAAACATGTAACTCTAGAAAGCAATTATAATACTCGTATGCAAAATAATGCCCTGGAATACAATAATCAGTTTTGTTTCTGAATATAAATAAATAATCGAATTAAAAAATTAAAATTGAAAGATTTTTTTTCTGAAAGTTTGGGCTAAAAACATGGGTGCACATTATACATGGCAAAATATGGTAATGTATGTAAGGAGAAGGGAAATTAAAATGTTATTTCTAATAGAATTCTTGGTACATAAAATCCTTTAGTTATGCTGATTATATCAATTAACTGGCAGTTAATGACTTTATTAAATAAACAATTTTAACAATCAATTCATATTACATACAGTCCCATTTAATACATAGCACAATTGCTGTGTTTAGAATTGCAATAGTTTTTTTAGCCTGGTATTTGGAAGAATTTGTTTCTTTTTGGCTTCATTGCCTTTCTAGTGAGGGATTATATTTGGGATAACTTTTTTTGTAGTACCTTAGTGAATTTTTAACTATTCTATAGGCTACCAAATAAAGCAATTACAAGCAAAATGTCAATAAATATGCTCCACATCAGAGTTTAGAATTCAGTGTCCATTCCTTTACTTTCCCCAGGCCATCAAATTTTATTTTAGGGAATGATCATTAAAGAATAAATCGGCTCTTTCAAAATAGCATATGCTTTGAATTATTGACATCAGCAGTTTCATATATCCTGTATTGTATTGGTGGACCAGTTCTCCATCATGCATGTAATTTTAGTCAGATTAAAATGTATGTGGTAGCTCTTTGCCTGATGCTTGAGGCACAGCTTTGCAACTGTTTTTGCATTCCATTTCAGTTTTCCCGACCCTAAAGATGACCTTTTATTTTGTTCAGTGACTAGGTCAGTCCTGCTTCTGGGATCCAACTGTATGTTGTGATTAAGAAATGTTTCACATCAGAGTAACTCACCAGACAGAAACATTACGTATTAAATAGATATTTCATTAGATTTAAAGGTATGTTTTAATTATGACACTGAATCTCCCACATATATGTTCCTGGCATTCAAGGGTGAAATGAGGATTGAACAGTCAGCCAACGTTAACGTTCAGAACTATTCTTATCATTATTTTGCTTTTCAAATAATTGTATGCTTAAAATATATTGCATTCTTATATAAGAATATGTGTAAGATAATCCAATATATTTAGGTTAATCTGGACCTGAAATTTGTTGAAACTCAGTTGTATTTCAGGCTGACTAATACCTGGAGATTTATCATTTCTTTTTGTTGGGGCAGAATGCTCTTCCCTTTGCTATTTACACTGGCAGGTAGTGGTCAGATGTGTTGCTCACGCAGACTGTGTCCCTGCTCTATCCATCTTCTCTAGAGCTCCTGTGTCTTGAGTATCATCTGAAAATTGTAACAGATCATTTGACATTTTGTTAGAATTGTGCTTCAACTCAATGAAATTTATTGGAGAATTTAAAATAACAGCAACTGCAACATTTATTGAGCACTTACTATGTGCTGGTACTTAAGGTATATTAATTCTCTCAACAGCCTTATGAGATGGTACTGCTGTTCTCCCTGCTTTTCAGATGCAGAAACTGAGGCTTAAATTAATTTGCTCAAACAAGATCACATGGCTAGTAAATGGCAGAGCTGAGACTCATTGAAACCTATGCTTTTACTTGTGGTTTACTGTCTCCTAGACCCCCCAGAAATTCTTCGCACAATTGCAGGGTAATGCTTCCTTCTGTGTAGGAGATAGTAAGAATATAATAATGGACCAGGAATAAACCTGGGACATACACAGCTTTCTTGGACATTTCCTCTCTGAAGCCTGCCCAATCACCCCTCCCCCATACAAACTCAGTTGTATAGCATTGCCTTATTTTTCCATTGCAACTTGTCCCAGTTTCAGTGATGGCATTTACCACTGCATTTCACCATTTGGCCACAGCTCTTTGAGAACAGGTTCCCTTTTATTTATTTCTGTATAGAGGCAATATTGGAAGATTACTTTTGTCTTACATTGTGTTTTATTGTCTAATGTTATTCTATACAGTTAGAGCACAAATGTATGATGAAATCATACATTGATTTCATCAATGTATGGAGAGTGGTGGAAAGTGACCATTTAACATTTTTTAATGTTTACAGAATGAAGAGGAACAATTTATCTGCTGTGAATAAAATTGTCCAGTCTTCACCAGCAGTGAAACAGCCAAAACTTGGATTCTGCTCTTCTCTCAACCAGACTCATATGCACACAGTTCTTCTAGACTGGGGGAGTTTGCCTCACCACGTCTTGCTACGCATTTTTCAGTACCTTCCTTTAATAGATCGGGCCCGGGTATCTTCTGTATGTAGGAGATGGAATGAAGTTTTTCATATTCCTGATCTTTGGAGAAAGTTTGAATTTGAACTGAATCAGTCAGCTACTTCCTATTTTAAGTCCACTCATCCTGATCTCATTCAGCAGATTATTAAAAGGCATGCTGCCCACCTCCAGTATGTCAGCTTTAAGGTAAGAAAAATAAGCACTAAACAGAAACCATGACTTATAGTTTAACAACAATTTCCATATCTTTGTGTTGAAGCAGTCAGTGAATTTTGCAGAATTATTATCTCAAATATTTTCTGTTTTTCTGTAGTTATTTGCATAGATTGACATGTAGCACTTGAGTTATGATTGAATAACTTAAACTTCCGTTTCTTTCACCCAGGTGCCATTATTAAAATTCAGGTCATTGTAAAAGATTTGAAAGTACGAAGTGCTTAGAAAGTTAATTTTGTCATCATGTTTCTCATGTTTTTTTTATCTGAGACATTTTGTATAAAGAAAAAATACTAATTTATTTTATAGCTTAAGGGGTAAAACAGTTTTGCAAATGAACTGTATTAAGTAAGTATTTGCCAGTAACTTTCTAATAAGTTACCTTCATTAAATTAAGATTTAAAATTGTCTTTATAGGTTGATAGCAGTACTGAGTCAGCAGAAGCTGCCTGTGATATACTTTCCCAGCTGGTAAACTGTTCTATCCAGACCTTAGGCTTGATTTCAACAGCCAAGCCGAGTTTTATGAATATGTCAAAGGTAAGTATGGTATGCTTTTTTGGTACAATTTGTAAATATTGTAAAATTCTTAAATATTGTCAAATTAGTAGAAAAGATTCTTTTCTTAAAAACAGACAATATTCTGCTTGTACTCAACAAAGTATATTTAAAGGAGTTTTATGACAAGCACTTATTTTTGCTGAAATAGTTTATGCATGGTTTCATTCTTTAAATAAACTTTAGTAAATGTTTCCCCTGTAAATGGCATTCATATAAACTTTAGATGTATGGTTTTCACGTGCTAATTTACTTAATCACTTTGAATATGTGTAAATGGATGTCTTTCCTGTAATTCTAGACTCTCTTCATTGGAGGTAGAACAGCATAATATTTAACTAAATAAACTACATTTGTTAGGATGATGTTTCAGTCCATGTAGTAGAGATTCCAAAATAACAATGACTTAAAACACAGGACTGAAGTTTCTTTCTCTTATGTTAAAGGAATCCCTAGGGGAAACAGTTCATAGCTGGTGTAAAGGTGTTTGGAACCCAGGCTTCCTCCAGGCACCGCATCCTCTCCAAGATGTTTTCTTCATTTTCATTGTCCAACATGGCTTTCTGAGCTCCAGCCATCACGTCCTTATTGTAGACAGCTGGATGGAAGTGATGGGGAAGAAGGATATGCCCTACCCTTTGCAGGGAGACTAGCCATGAGTATCACATAATGCTGCTGTTTGTCTCCTTGGCCAGAATTTAGCCCTGTGGCCACACAGATGTCTTTTAGCTGGGTGCAATATGCCCGGCTAAATATTGGGACTAGATCACCAAAGAAGAAAGTGTGAATGGTTGTTCAGAAGCAACCAGCAGTCTCTGCCACAGAAACTAGTAACAGTCTTCTCTTTATTCAGGTTTCAGCTTGAATGCCATCTCCTCAGAGAGGCGTCCTTGACTACTTTTGCTCAAACAGCGCCCACTCTTACAGTGACCCTCTACTCTATGACAATATTTTAGTTTCTTTCTATTTGTCATCAGGACTATAAAATACATTATTGATTTAATATGTTTATTCTCTTTTCCTCAGACCAAATAAAAAAATTCTTGAAGGGAGATATTCTAATTTGTTTACTTACTGTTCTAAATCCAGAATTAGGATAGTGCCTGCTATATAATAAACACTAAGTTATGGTTGGCAGTACAATGGGCTAATGAAGAGGGGAGAGGAATAGTAACATCTTTTCTCTCATAAAACTGTCATGGCTCTTTTTTTAGCGAGCATTTCTGCTAGCTTGTTTATCTTTTCAAGAGGTGTCCTTAAAAAAAATGGGTCATTCAGGGATTAGAGTAATATAAGTAATCAGATGGAAGCTTACTAGTTCTAAATGGTTATTTCCTTATTGATAAACTGTGGAATCAGACTGACCTAAAATTTTTAGATTCTAAGCTGTCTCTCATGTTGCACATCAGCTTCAAGAGCCAGCTTCTAGGTCAGCTGATGCAGACACCAGAGCAAGGCAGCAGCGACTAGCAGGCTCCATTCCCAGCTCTGCCTCTACAGTAAAATGAGCTCTGGGGCTTCTGGTCAAGTTGTGGATCTCAATAAGCCTCAGGTTTTTGTTTTTGTTTTTCATTTGTAAACTAAGGGAAAGTAAGATAAAAGTACAGCATTTTGCTAGGCATAAAAGGTGCTAAAAACTATGTTGTTACTATAATAAAATTTGTACAGGTTTCCCCTGCTATCCAAAAGCAGAACTTTACTATAAAACCTTTTGTAAGGCAAAACAGCATAAAGCACAGAAGCCATTATCTTAGGACACATCTTACCAGTGGACACGCAAAACAAATTAATATGAAGCACGGACGTTCACGGACACAGCTCAAAGCTGTGGCAGCCTGGTGCAGAGAGGCTGAGGGGAGCTCCTGGAGGAGGGGCGGGCGGCCGCTCTCACTGCTCCACTGCTCAGGGTGATGCTGCCTCTGCAACAGCTCGCTGCAAAACAAAGTGCCGAATGTTCCTTTGCCTTTCTTCATAAAAATTAAATTCTCTCTGGATTTCTAGTTCATGAAGACAAGTACTAATATAGGTCTTTTGTAAAAGTAAAGTGGTGTAACACAAAACTTTCAAAAAGTAAGGGAGACTTATATTTTGATGTGTAACCGTGTCCTTCAGGATTGAATGTCCACTGAGAGTCAATTAAAGGGGGAAAAACCCTTATCTTTCTTAAAAAGAGTGACATATTTGTGTTTCTCTAACAATTTTTGGCATCATAAAATTAGGTAAAGAGGCCAGCCAAATGTTATATAAAAATCTGTGTAAATCAGTTAGCAATTAGTATATGCCAATAGGTTTTCTTATAAATTAATTTAGATTTGTAACCAATTTGGTCATTCTAATAGGGACAATAGAACCTTTGGTAGGATCCAAATAGATTCTGAAAAAGGAAAACTGATCATGCATGAATTTGGTTTCCAGACTTTCTGTCTGTATCCAAAAACACTGGGTCTGAAAACTTGTGAAACCCCACCCATTTTGAAAGTCAAACTATAAATAAGCTTTAGTTTGTCAGTCTTCAAAACAGAAAGTTTTCAAAACATTTTTGTTAAATTTGCTAGCAAAAAGCACATCACCAAAGAATGACATCATTTGTTCACTTATTCATCAGCAAATATTTATTGATCTTCTACTATGTGCCAGATACTATTTTAGGTGCTGGGAATACAGGAGTGGATAAACCAGATAAAAATTCTCTTTCCTCCAAGGCAGGGTTCAAACAGGTACAGATGGTAAATATTTTAGGCTCATGCAGTTTTGCTGCAGCTCCGCTGTTGCAACCCCATCACCTCCGCCTGGCACAGTGTTGAAGTCGATGGAGACAATACGTACTTGGAGCAGCATGGCTGTGCTATCATCGCTTTGGTTATGTACACTGAAAGAGTTTCATTGTAATATTCCCATGTCATGAAATAGTCTTCAAGACATTTTTTCCAGTTATTTAAAAATGTAAAAAACATTCTTAACTCAGGAGCTATGCAATAATAGACTGGATTGGATTTGGCTGGCAGACCATAACTTGCTAACTTTTTCTCTTCTAGGAAATAAATATAATTATACCCTTTTCATATTGAAAACAAAATCCTTAAGATTGAAAATAATTGAAAGACATACTTAATGAAATTTTTCAAACTTCTCCCCTTCTCACCATTCCATTTATGAATTGTGAAAGTATTTAAAAAACTATACTTTGTTATAAAAATGTCTTCTACTAGCTAATGGTGCTATGAAAAACAGTAATATGTTGATTGCTTTTAGTATGTTATTATAAGCATATGTTGATATATTAGTTTTAATGAATTATTTGATTGAATCTATAGATATTTAAATAATGTTTTCAATTTTTTTATTGCCATGCAAGTCTCATTTTGTGTCAGCACTTACAGTTGTTTTTATCAACTCAAAATCGTTGTCGTCAATCAAAATTGAAGACACTCCAGTAGATGATCCCTCATTGAAGATTCTCGTGGCCAATAATAGTGATACTCTAAGACTCCTAAAAATGAGTAGCTGTCCTCATGTCTCATCTGATGGTAGGCTATATTTTTCTAAGTTTGCATGGTATTCTTTTTTCTAAGTTTGCATGGTATCTATAGTGATAGTAAGAATGCAATTTCTTGTAGAAATCTACATGCTTTTGAAACATTAAGCTTTCAAAAGAAGTCTTAATCTGTAAGCTAGAGATAATTTAAATTGCTTCTCCTAAGAGTGTTTTAATTATATATACAGGGTCTAGCACAAATAACACCTTTTTATTACATAAAAATCTTTTATTACAAAATAGTAAACATGGAATTCTGTAACATAGCAACATCACACTGAAGCACACCATATGAAATTTTAGGTGAAATGCTCAAATTGCTGTTTGTCTTGTGTAGGACATTCACACACCCTACCAACCACACTCAGTGGCATTACTTCTGCCAGATCCTGTATATTATTATATATAATTATGTATATCTTGGCATCCATCTCCTCAAAAATCATTAGATGTCTATTTTAGGAAATAATGAATGACTGATATCAAATGTAAATTGACAAAACATTATTGTTAGTATGATCTTCGTTCTAAAAATTTTTTTCCTCATTTCCCACAGGAATCCTTTGTGTAGCTGATCATTGTCAAGGCCTTAGAGAACTGGCATTGAATTATTACATGCTGAGTGATGAACTTCTCCTGGCACTTTCAAGTGAGACTCATGTTAACCTCGAACACCTTCGAATTGATGTTGTGAGTGAAAATCCTGGAAAAATTGAATTTCATTCCATTAAAAAACAAAGTTGGGATGCGCTTATTGAACACTCCCCTGGAGTTAATGTTGTTATGTACTTCTTTTTATATGAAGAAGAATTCGAGACATTCTTCCAGGAAAACACCCCTGTTACTCACCTTTATTTTGGCCGTTCAGTAAGCAAAGCAGTTCTTGGACGGATAGGTCTTAACTGTCCAAGACTAATTGAGTTAGTGGTGTGTGCCAATGGTCTCCAAACACTTGATGATGAACTTGTTTGTATTGCTAAGCACTGTAAAAACTTCACAGCCTTGGGCCTAAGTGAATGTGAAGTTAGCTGCAGTGCCTTCATGGAGTTTGTAAGACTGTGTGGGACCAGGCTAGCCCAGCTGTCTGTAATGGAGGAAGTTTTGGTCCCCGACGACACTTACAGCCTAGATGAAATTCACATTGAAGTTTCCAAATACCTTGGAAGGCTGTGGTTCCCTGATGTCATGCCTGTTTGGTGACTGACTACCAAAGAGTCTTAACTTTTTTTTAATCAAAAAATTAGCTTCTTTCAGTCTATGCAAATGTAAAATTTAAGATGCATTGCTGAAATATTTTAGGTAAGTATTTCATCATTTGCAAACTGTCTTAATAGGTTGCAGCAGAAACATTTGAAAAAATACAAGAAATTTGAAAAGCCAGAAATTTTCCTAAATATAGCACAGAGACACACAGTCTCTTGGTTAGATATGCGAAAAACTACAAATAGTTTCTAGAGAAATTGCTTAGCCTTCCTTGAAGGCATATTTTACCTTGCTAAATAAGTTTATAATATTGAGCTTTGGATCCCTTAAATTATGCCATTTACAACTTTATATTCTAATTGTTTCTGTGTCATCTTAATATATTTTACAAAGTATTTAGTATTCAAAACTAAGAGTAAAATCAAAATATAGATAGATGCTGACTTAATTATACTTCACTTTTAGCACTATATAATATCATGTTATGATTTAATAAGCAACTTTTAATTTCCAGTACACTTGGGATTCTACTTTATTACATTAACTTGAGAGTAAATTGACATTAGACTAAAATTAGATAATGCTAACTCATTTTATGAAGATACTGTGATTGTTAATTGATTAAATATACTACTGAGATAAAAAAGTAAGTTTTGCAGAGTGTGTTTGGGAGGGAATCAGTGTTTACTGACTTATTACTGTGTATCTGAAATGATGCCAAATGCTTTGCAGGGCGATCTTGTGATTTAATCAGTAGTAAGCAAAATTCCTTAATAGCAATGTATTGACTTTAGGATGAAGATACATCTTTAAAATGATTCATAAGATCCTACAAGGTCTGGCTCCACCCTGCTTTGCTACCATTCTCTTTCAGGTCCTTAAGACTGCTGCGCCCTCTAAGAGTCAGAAGGCATTTGTACATAGTAATCATTCTACTTTGATCGCTCTCTTTGTTCCCTCAGATCTTCCTTTAGATTCTTTTCCTCAGGGAAGCCTCCATGACTCTCAGCACCCTGTGGCTGTTCTTTATGGCCCTCATCATCATCGTAATTTGCCCTTTACTTGTATGAGTATCTGCTGCTTCTATTGCACAGTGTAAGATCGCTGGTGGGTTTTACTCACTGTTGTGTTCCCAGCATCTGCCATGATATTTAGTACCGTAGTAGGCACTCAATAAGTTTTACTTAAATACATTCTGTTTCTTTCCCTATAACCTTTCTCTAGCATTTTTTAAATTTATTTTATTTTATTGTTGTTCAGGTACATTTGTTCCCACCAAACTTGTTCCCTTCAAAATCTTAAATTTCCTTCTAAGATAATCAATTTAAAAATAAAAAGAAAGTTAAAAATATGTTTATTGTTTCCAGTTTTTGAGTATTTTTGAAGAACAGAAATCTCATTTCATTCACTTTCTAGTCCAAACCTCTCAAAACAGTGTGTAGTATGTTAGCACACACTAAGTAAGTGCCAGTGGAGCTGATATTACTGGTTGGAAAAAAACCAGTGTCTTAAAGACGGTTAATATTATTGCAGATTGTATCAGCTGTACCTTGAGATTTCTGTGCTCTCCTAGAGTGCAGAAGCAGCAAATGACAGGGAACTTAGGGTCTGGTTGGAGTAACAGAACTAACAGACAGAAAGGAAGTGATATAACTGAGATGGAGGGATCAGACTGCTTGGAGATCAGAGTAATTAATGGTGGAAAAACTGAAGTCATAAACCTCCAGTCTCACCTGGTGGTAAGGTATGTATACCTGAGTGGTAAGGTGATGGAATGCCAGTGGCGTTTGTACTAGAGGACAACAAAGCAAAAAAGAAAGGGGCTAAAAGAGGGGAGAGGTTGAGGGGGAGTTTATTCCCATAGCCTACCAGCATAGAGAAATAATGACTGTAAGTGGCCTCTTTTACAGTGAATGAGAAATTGCTGCTCTAAACAGTGGTCTTTAGTAGTCAAACCTAGTGAACTGAGCACTGTAATAACTCTTAGAAAAAAAGGTAGACTAAAACTCATCAGCTCAATTAAATGAGACCATGGTTGATCTTACTAGGCTGATACATTGAAGAACAAACAAAAACAAGATGAGGAAATATGAAGTATTCTTGATGTTTCCATTGTCTCCATGGAGACAATGAAAATGTCTCCATTTACCGTGGAAGTCAATGGAAAGCACTGTTCACCTAACATTCAAGGATTCTGAGTAAATGAAAGTGTTTGATATTAGATGGCTTTTGAGCTTTAGGCTTTTCAAAATATTTTAGTTCTGTAAGCAGACTTGTTCATGTTAAATTTGTGTTTTTGCATGTGTTGAAGAATTCTGGAAAAGTTAGGATAATTTTGTAGGCAAAATATAAATGGAGAGAATGGGAGAACAGGTTCTATCGTAGGTGCACTGAAGACACACAAAAATAGGATTCTTGAGTTTTTGTTTTTTCTTTCTTATGAACCTTCCTGGGCTCATCTGTTTTGTACTAAATACTAGGGAGATGGACAGATTTTAAAATTATACACATTGCTGTTGATATGCCACTAAATGTGATAAATGTCACAAGGATATAGGAATTCTTCCATATATAGACCTAGTCCTAGATTGGCCACTTAACTTTTATTTCCATGAAGTTACTTTCCTGCAGAAAACTAAAAAAATATTTGTAAAATAAATACTGATTTTGTTCATATTATTTACAGTCGATGAGACTAATACTTGATACCCCACTTTAAGTATGTATTATAACCACTTTCACGAAGGAAAAATAAGTTACTCAGTACTGTTACTTCTCTGTCAATTGAACCTTAACAATACTTTAAGCTGAATATTTCGACATTCAAACCTAAAAGTACATTAAAAAACAAAAACAAAACTCTGATACAATGCACCAGAGGGCGCTGTATTCTAGTTCTTCCTAAGAAAGAAGTCCTTTAGCCTAAAGTCGGCATTTCCATCCAACAGATGTGAGAGTTCTTGTGGAGTGCTAGGCAGAAGGGAACGTTCTTGCTCTACCTGGGGAAGCCCTCCATTCCAGGTAATGAGTCTGGTCTTTAAAACAGTCACTTTGGGAGGCTGATTATTTAGAAGGCTATGCACATATTTCATTGTTGAAACATTTTAGAGCTCTTTAAAAATTTTCTTTAAAGTCTGTGTGTTGCGTCCTTTTTTGTGTTCTCAAGGGGCACAGCCTTGCCCTTTGAAAACAATGTAAGTTTTGGAAATAATCTGAAGTTACTGGGCACTGAGGAGATGAAAGGAGAGATTATCAAACCAGGTCGTGCTGGTTACAGTTTTCTTTTTTTTAATAACCCAAACTTAATTTTCTAGCCTTGTATAGGGCATTATAATGTAGAAAATATTATCTAACTGGGTATGAGAAACTACTGATTGTGTTGTATGGACTCTGAACTATCTGAGAACCATCATTACCTTTCTTTGCTGGCCACCTACCTGCAAGTCCAATTACATCTGTAACATACACATCTGTAACATACACAGGGGTACCTCGGTCCTCATCAGCTTCAGAACTCATCAAACAAACCCTGTACTCATCAAAAACTGAGCAGAAGAAATGTTTCATTACTTGGCACTTGCTCACCACTTGCACTTGCTAGAACTTGTGAGTCACGATGCCAACCCGCAAGAGAAAGTGCTTCAGCAGTCCTCGCTTGCTCGCCATTCATCAGAACAAATTAATGACAAGTACCAAGGTGCCACTGTAATTTGTGATGATAAATACTTATGCAATCACCTCCTAACTGCAAAACTACAGCACTGATAGTAACGTAAATTTGTCTGAGTAGTCCTTTCCTATCAAGTCTTTAGGTTACTAGTGTTTATTATTTGTTGGATTTTCTTTTTATATATTTTTATCACATACTTATGTGTTCCTAAAAATTATGTTTTGGCTTTAGTTGTTTTAACTTTTTAAGAGGAGTGTCATGCTATATTTGATCTTTTTGACTTTTTTTACTCAATATTATATTGCTATGATTGATTCATTGTGTTAGTTAGCTAAGAATTATTTATTATGAGTGCTATGTACTATTCCATTCTATAACCACAATTTATTCATCTATTTCATTGTTGATGGTCATTTAAGTTGTTCCAGGTTTTGCTCTGATGAATAATGATGTCATGAATATTCTTACAACTATGTCTTAGTGTACAACTGTAGCCACTGCTCACCAGTAGTAAAGTTCAATGAGTTACATTTTCCTCTAACAACTGCTCTAAGAATGGAGTCATTCTGCTGCAGTTTTCTACATTCTAAAAGGATTTACGCAAAAGTTTATGAAAGAAGTTTCCAGAATGATGAGTTCAACTTACTCATTTCTTACTGACTGACTAAAATCTAGGGAGCCATATTATTTCTGGTCCTCTGAACACTTGCATGGTTTTATTTCACACTGGTACCTGTTGGAAAGAATAATATAGATACAGAGTGTTGTGAAGAAATAAGTGGCTATTATATGGCTACATGAGGCTGACTGACTTGGTTCCATGAGATATTTCAGGTTAGGAGAGACCTCTTTCCTTTCTAGTACTCCTTGTCATGCAATCATGCTGAAATCTAGAGAATATTGCCTATTTTCTTAGACTACAGTTATTCATTACCCAGAAGATCTACCACTTACACACTGTGGGAATGTGTAGCTATAAAGACATGCAAAGTCCATTTCGTCCATGCAAGTAGCTCATGATCCAACCAATTTGACAAACCTAAGGAAATTGCTAAAATTATCCAGAAGCTTAACTCAAAAGGAGCGTCCAGTTTATTCAGTCAGTATTTATTAAGTATGTATGTGTGTCCAATACTGTACAACCCTCTATTCTTACACCATAAAACAGTTTCAGGCTTTTTAAAAAACAAATCTAGTTTTAGAATCATTAAAAATGCAATCTGAACCAGCTTTAATTTATATATTTTTATTCTATGTATTTAGGACTAAGAGATCTTAAAAAACAAACCCCGCACCATCCCAGACATCATAGGTTACAGGAAGATCTGTAAGCCCCCGAGAAATGCAAAGTAGTGGTTGACATGCAACAACATGAAAGTGGCAGTGGGTTGAAATCAACATACTGCTTCCGCCCAGGCATTTATTCTGTTTCTGTTTGAACATGAATTTCTTGAAAAGCAGGATATGCATTCAGGTTCTAAGAAGGTGGCTTTCTATGTAGAAGAGCTAGCCATTTGTCTTTCATTTATAGGTACATGGTGGGATCACTCAAGTCACAGTTTTCAATGTGTACATGGGATTGGATGCCCGGATAGACTTTCTGCAAGGGCAGTAGAGTTCCCAGTTTCTCTCCTTTCTTGATAGAACCTTTATATTTAATTGGCTTAATGTAGAACATCTTAATACAGAAGCCTAAAGGAAAAGAAGAAGTAAAATTATTCACTATCTGAATTTTAGTAGTCTTCAATCAGAGTTTAAAAAAACAAGAACAGAAATGAGGGGAGAAAAGAGTTAAGTCAATGAGGGAAGAGTAAAATGTCAAAATCATGCCAGGAATAAAGACAAAAACTGCAAGATGCCCGAGAAGAACAGATTTAAGTGAAAATTAATAAAGATATTAAACAATAGCAGATAAACACTAGGTACCTGAGAAAATTGACCTGGAACAATATTAACTCTAAGACATATTCTAATTAAACTATTAGACTTTAAAGACAAGGGAAAATGGAAATAACTGTCACAAGAATACAAATGCTTCTAAATACCAAAAGAAAAAATGTAAAGACCCAGCCAATAGTGAAATCAAGTTAATATAATGCTATAATTATAATATGACAATGTTGGGACCAAATACATGTTATATCTATAAATGTTATCTATTAAGTAGATTTTCTTATTAACTTGAAGAGGAAAAACTCAGTTCTATACTGTCTGGGAAAAAAACCCAGTCATTAAAGGCTAAAAATTAAGGTCTGGACAAATATTTGCCAAGAAAATGGAAGCCAAAAGGAAATTAAAAGTTAGGATCCTGTTACCAGAGATTGGAATTCAGGCCAAAAAGCACTGAAACAAGACAGAGGAGGACAATTTACAGTGCTAAATCCAGTGAAGATGGGACAGTGTCAATTACCCACGTGCTAAGTGACACAGAAAACAGAGACTTCGGGAGGGGCCAGGAGAAATAGAGGGAAATCCGGCAGTCATAGAAGACTTCAGCACATTTCTGCCATTGCAAACACTGAAAGTGGATAGAAAACATGAGTAAGGCTGTAGAGCTCTGCCGTCCAATGTGGAGGCCACCAGCCACATGTGGCTCGTTAGCACTTACAATGCAGCTCATCTGAATGAGATGTGCTCTCAGTACAAGGTACACACTGGATTTTGAAGACAGTAACCAAATGAGGTAAAATAATAATCTGTATATTAATTGCATTCTAATGAAAATATTCTGGGGATAGTGGCTTAAGTAAAATATATTATTAAAATTAATTCCACATGTTTCTTTTTACTTTATGTGACTCCTAGAAAATTTAAAATAACTTCTGTGGCTTTTATTATATTCCTGTTGTACACTACTGCCACAGAAAATCTAAACAAAATTAATAAGTTGTATCTTATGTACCTACAGGGTCTGGCACAAATAACATCTCTTTTTTTTTAGGAGTAGATCTTTTTTTTTTCTAATATTTTATTTATTTATCTTTAGAGGGGAAAGGAAGGAGAGAGGGAGAGAAATATCAATGTATGGTTGCCTCTCATATGTCCCTGCTGGGAACTGGCCTGCAATCCAGGCATGTGCCCTGACTGGTAATCGAACCAGTTGTTTGGCCCACGCTGAATACACTGAGCTATACCAGCCAGGGCATAACATCTCTTTTTTTTTATTACAAAATCGTAAGCATGTAACTGTAACATAACGATATCACACTCAAGCACAACATATGATATTTTAGGTGAAATGTTCAAATTAACACTATAAATTATTATTCCCATATTATTAGCCTACCAACCATAATCAAGCAAGCATTATTTCTGCCAGCCTCACTTCTGCCAGCCTCTGTATATAAACAGAATATGTGCAAGACATCTACATTGAAAATAATGCAAGACCTAAATACATGGAAGATATGACGTATTCTTTGGTTGGAGGATTCATTACTGTTAAGATGGCAGTTCTTTTCAATATGACACATTTAATCAATGAAAATTCAATCAAAGTCCCAGCAGGCTTTTTGGTGAAAATTGACAAACTGATTCTATAATTGGAAATGCAAATGACCAAGAATTGCCAGGGCAACCTGGAAGATCAAAGTTGGAAGATTTATACTATCAGATATCAAGATGTATTTTAAAGCTGTGGTGGTTAAGTCAGTGTGGTATTTGTGAAAAATGGACAAATGACCGATGGAAAGATGAGAAGTTGAGCCATGTATATTCATACCCTCATTTATGCTAAAAGATACTGAAATGTAGTAGGGGAAAAAATGGTCTTGTCAAGTTAATGGTACTGAGTCAGATGTGAATATGAAGAAAAATTTGACCCCATCTCAAATTTTGTAAATCTATATAAATCTATAAAATCAAATTATATCTAAATATGAAAGATGATGCAATGAAGCTTGTAGATGAGAACATGGAATATCTTTATGGCTTCAGGGTAGAAATATGTGTTAACAATAAAGGAAAATATTACTAAATTGGGCTGCATTAAAAACAAGAATTTTTAATTATTGAAAGAAACATTAAGAAAGTAAAGAACACCCTGGCCAGGTAGCTCAGTTGGTTGGAGGGCCGTCCTATACACCAAAAGGTTGCAGGTTCCATCCCTGGTCAGGGTACATGCCTAGGTTACAGGTTCAGTCCCTGGTTGGGGCACATACAGGAGGCAACCAATCAATGTTTCTCTCACATTGATATTTCTCTTTGTCTGTCTGTCTGTCTGTATTTCTGACTTAAAAAATCAGTAAACATATCCTTTTGTGAGGATTTAAAAAAATGAAAACCCATAAAGTGGGAGAAAATATTTAGAATATGTATATCTGACAAAGGACTCATTCAGAAGACATTGCGTTGGCCAAAAAGTCCGTTTCGTTTTTTCTGTAAGATAAAAGACATAGTTTTCATTTTCACCAATAACTTTATTGATCTGGATATTTTGAGTATGTTGGCCGTCTCCTGTTGTTGGCTTCTAGTCAGTAGAGGCAGGGATGCTGCCAAACATCTTCTAATCCATAAGACAGCCCCACAGCAAAGAGTTATCTGGCCAAATGTCAGTAGTACCGAGAAACTTCACTAACGGCTTTTGACATGTTCAATCAGTCACAGCACCTTCTCCATACACTGCACAGATCTTTTTGCATTTCAGTTGTGTTTTTACCTTTCTTGGAACAATAAAGCATAATACACCAAAAATGTTGCTTATCTTCTTCTATCTTCAATGTTAAAATAGTTGCACAAAAATTCACCAACTTGGATAAGTTTTTTTAAATGACAGCTGATATGACAGCTGTCACAACACAATCTAACAAAAATGTTTCAAAAAAAGTTAAAGACAACTAAGTACTACTAGAGCCATTGTAAGGAAAAAACTAAATACACTTTTTGGCCAACTTGGTACAAAAAAACCTCCTACATACCAGTAAGAAAAAGGCAGGCAAGAAAGACAGGGTAAAATACTTGAATAGGCACCTCACAAAAGGCAGTGTCCATGTTATCAATAAATATGAAAGGATGCTCAATTTTATTAGCCATCAGGGAAATGCAAATTAAAGCTAAATGAGATACTACTACATACCCATCAGAATGGTTGAAACGAGAAAGGTAGATAAGTAACACCAAGTACTGCGTATGAAGCAACTGGAACTTCCATACACCCTTAGTAGGAGTGTAAGTTGGTACTACTACTATGGAAAACTGGGCCAGTGTCTGTAGTCCTAAAATTGAAGGTACACATACACCAAGTGACCCAGCACTTCCTCTCCTACAGCGCTCCTCCAGTTGCTGAGTATACTGATTCTAATTAGAAATGCAACTGGGAAAATTATAATGCCACAGGGTGGATTTGTGGATGCACTGGGCCCACTGTAAGATGGACCCTGGTGAAAGACGGCATTGATTACCTGAGCCTAGGAGCCCCTAGTCTGACTGGTCATGTTAGTCTTCAGGGATTAGTATCAGTTTTGAGTGAGTGTCCAGTAATCTCTGAAAAGCCTAATTCTTCCTCCCCAATGTACAGTCATTCTGCTACATGGCTACAGGTCCCTTTGAGGATAGCTGGATGTCAGGTTTACAGTATAAATTGTTGGCTGTGTGACAGAGCACTTTCTCAGAGAGTCAGCCTCCCTTTCATTCAGGGAGCTCTGAACTGGTTCAAGTCTAGGAGTTGGGGTGGGGTGGTTTGTGACCCATAATTGTGATGATTGAAGTCAGAATTCTGTTCATCAGACCTAGAGTGTTTCCATTAAACAAATCAAATAGGGTTTTAGTAGGCTACCCATCTCTTTCATTCTAGGGTCACCATAATTAACTGGACAATGCCTCAGATCTCTGTGCTTCAGAGGAAGCTGATTACTTCTTCATCTCTGCTGCCTGTTAGTTAACCATGCCAACCTTGGCCTTGGCTACTAACTGGATTCCATTCAATGGCAGCAACTTCTCTTGTCATTCAGGCCTAAGCTACCCCACAACTCCTCAAGGATGTGAGCTCTCTCACAAAGTGCTGCTTGCTTGGTGAAGGGATTGTCCTCTGAACTCACTCCCAACAGAAATGCATGTTTATGTTCATTAAAAGACGTGCAAAAAGTTCATAGCATTTTCACAGTCACCTAAAGCTGGATGCTACCTCGATGTCCATCTAACTAATGACTATATAGATGAAGATATATATGTGTAATGGAATACTCTATAAAGCAGTGAGAATGAAGGAGCTAAAACAACATGAAAAATATGAATGAATCTCACAAACATGATGTGGAGTGAAAGAGACTGCGTGCTGTTTAATTCTATTTATATCATCTTCAAAAACAGGCAGAACTAAGCTACAGTGGGAAAGTGATTGCACTTGCTGGGAATAATGATAAAAGGTGGCACAAAGGGTCTCTTGGGTGCTGCTGATGTTCTTTCTCTTGATCCGAGTGCTGGTTATGTGGGTGTATTTACTTTGCAAAAGTTCATGGAGCTGTATAATGCTTTGTGCACTCTTCTGTGTGTACCTCAAACAAATTAAAACAGCCAAACAACAAGCCCAGTACCTGGAGCACCAGGAGAGCCAGCTTTACCTAGAATATAGAGGCCTTGGTAAATATTTCACAGTCAGTTCTTGCAGGAAGGCCAACATTATCCAATTGTGGGATTCTGGTATATCTGTTCATGATAGTTAATATTGCTGAAAGTGGGTTTGTTTCTAGATTGTTAAGCAAAACCACATGGGCCACAGGAAGAACACTCTCAGTCAGATGGATAGTTAGGTGGTGTGTGTGCATGAAGAAGGTGATTCCACGGAAACCAGGGGAACATCTTTGGAAATGCATTAGCTGTTTTAGTTGGGTACCCTTTGTCCGTTATGGGTTTTGTCATCTTGAAGGAAATATGAAACTTCTAGTATGGAACATGCATTCAGTAAGTAAACGTCAAGCATCCATGTGGGTCCCATACATATACAAGTACGCACTAGCTCTTACCTCTTCCAGATATCCGAACACCATTATTGATGGCATTTTTGGTTTTATAAGGCTTCTCCTGGCCCACAATCAATCCGGTGAAAGGTGCATACACAGTAGATCCATCGGAACACAGGACATCCACACCCTGGTGAAGCCTATGATTTCTAGGATGTAGATAAGAATGAGCAGACTGAGGAACTTCCCTGGGAGTTCTGTCACCCAGCAATGTGGTGTCAGCCCTCTGTTCTCAAAGTAGGTCATCAAAAAATTGAAGCTGCTAGATCATGTGGGGATGTCCTAGGTTACCTCACTCTGTTTTGTCCATTTTTAGCCTCCTCCCCCAAGGGGAATAATAATCATGTTGTAAAGAGTAAAGCATTTAAGATAGTATTTGGCACTTGGGAAGTCTTGAAAAATATTAGTTATTATTTTTATATTGCATTTTGGGGGAATGAGGCAATCCATACAAGTAAATTTTATAAACCACTTAGGAAAGAGTTGTCTTTTTATGGGAGTCTATCATAAAAGAATCTTATCTTACTCTACATCTATTTTTCCCTCAGTTATCCAGAAGTTATTATAAACATCATTTACTGTATATGGTATTTTAATGTAGTGAGTGATACTGTGTGGGCTTATTAAAGTATATGTGGCACAAACACAGCATGTTCCCAGATTGTGAGGTTTCTTGAGGTTGTTGCTAACAATCCTCGCTGTTGTCACTGTGCCCACTCCTACTTACCAGCCTGTTCTTCTTTCTGATAGGCTACCACCTGAAAAATCAGATTCACCAGATTGTTCCATTATGTAAACAGCACTGAGCAGGTTCCACGTGAAGAGCCAGAAAATTATCGTGTAAGTCAAGTGCATAAACTTTAGGGTATGAACTAATTGAGTCTTGATATTAGCAATTCAGAGGTCATTTTTTTATATTTCCCATCTCTAGGTCTGTCTCCTATATGCCTAAGTGGTCATGATCATGTACACTTGAGGTGTTTGAGGTTACTTTGTAAGTAGTATCTGTATAAGTGAGAGTTCCACTGTAATTAGGATGGAGATCGATAATGAAATCGGACACACAGCTATTTCATCAGAGTGGTACTCCCAGTGTGATACTGTCATTACTGAAAATTCACAAGTATGTCCCTCATTGTCTGGAAGAAATTGCCTGTTCAGGGCCAGCCTCTGACGCTGAACAGCACCCAGAGCCTGGGTCAGTAACAGTGGTTTGGTGGAAAGAAGATCCTAAAGCCCAAATCTTAGTCCAGCCTTCACCACTTCCAATTGTTTGGCAGGACCCTTATTCCTTTGCTACCATTCAAGTTCCTCATCTATAAAATGAGATAGTAATGTTTGATCTTCACCTTGGAAAAACCTGGTGCAACAAGCCACTGTGTGAAAACATTTGAGGGAAAACTGTGTGTTTGCTCCTCTTCCTCTTTTCCTCATTCCAGGCTGTTTCCACTCCTGAGCCCCTAGTTGAAGCAGAGTTCTTGGAAGTAGAGACAAGAACCTGCTCCAGAGACAGTAATGTAAATGGTTTCATCTCTGAGTTTTTCTGCTGATCATGAGCCCTGAGGAAACACAGGGCGAGGGCACGAAGTGAAGAGGTTCAGGGCCCCAGGAGCTTGTGGTTACTGGTGAAACCCCGTACGTACCTTTGAGCAGTGTACTGGCCACAGCCGTGGCTGTCACATGTCCTGATCTCATTGGAAGACTTGCCAGCACATATATTAGCCCACGGTCCAGCCAGTGCTAAGAAAGGAGAAACATGGGAAGCAGATTTCCTGGTCTCATGTGGTTCCAGTCTCCATTTGCCTTGTAAGTCTTTCAGTGGATTCTGAAAACCTTGTTTTCACTAAGTTTTCCCCTTTCTGTAGTTTATGGTAAGGTCTTCCTTAACTCCTGATTTAGACATAAAATTGGCTTTTTCCATGGCCACAGAAGTCCATTTTATGACATATAAAGTATTTGTGTGTTTCTTTGTAAGTATTAACCTCCATTGTTATAGTTTTCAGATTATTCACTAGTAAATGGCATAAAGTGTGCTTTTCAAATTTTCTTTGTTCGTAGTTTGGCATGGGGTTAAGAAAAATAAACAGCAGAGCTCAAAGAAATAACTACAGAAATTCTGAAGTCACACTGAAATGTGTTCCCTTATTGTTAGTCCTAATAACCAAATCCAAGAAAATGTTTGCATTAAAGGAGAAACGAACTCCAAACTAGCAAAGTTTATTTAACATTAAATAGATCTCTCTCATATTTGCAAACACGGAAGAGGGAGATTCTTAGAAATAGGAACATGTCAAACCAGTTTAGCTTAGAGTGGAGTAAGAAGATGGGGAAGAGAGTAGAAAAATTATATAAAAATTACGAAGCAGTAAAACATGGAGGAGGGGGTCGGCTGTCTCTGTGCAAACTTTGTTCTAAGTGCAACGTCTCTTTAATATAGTAAGTGCTTCATAAATGTTCGATTGAATTCAATTTCTAGGATTTCCAGTGTTAATGTTCACAGAGATGTGCAGTTTGCAAACTCATTCTTTCATGTCCAAACCAGCAAAAATAAGTACCTGTTTATTTGATCATTGATTTTATTTAACAATATTTTACTATTAATATATGTGCTATGAAGAGAAGGCACAGAATATGGCCATTATGTATATTCCTTAATATTCTTTCAGAAGGTCTTATACCTTGAGGTCAACACCTTGATCAAGACACAATGCCATCACTTTGGCCACTAATATTTATCCTCGGGAACTAAGGCGTATACTAGGCAGTATGTTACTCGATTCACTTTCCTCTCATGCTGTGACTAGTAAGGGAGCACTCCCTTTGTCCTAGTCCACACCAGGCTCTATCAGGAATTTTCTAAATCCTATTCTTACTTAAACTTTTTATTTTCTAACTATGTTCCAGTTAAGTTCTAGACCAAGAATGAAACACTTGTCTTAAGTCCTCCCATTCCCCTTTTATGTTTCTGTCATTAAAGACCCAGAACATTCAGGTGGAAACTACTGAGAACCCCCACACCCCTGTTCTTCTTATTCCATTTTTAATAACCATGTACACAAGTTTCTGTTGTGATTGTGCTATTAATGACTTTTAAAACTGTCCTTGAAATAAGTTTTGAAAACTTAGCCAAGATTCTAAAATTGTATCTTTGACTTACCAGTTGAAATCGCAACAGCCAAAAGGAGAACTCTTGAGGAAAACATTTGGCTTTTATTTCCCTGTGATGTTTCTTCCTCTGATAATTATAATTGCTCCACACTCTCTTTGAAGACTCTTCAAGTCTGAGTAACTATTTTCTAGCTACTTAGCCTCACAATCCTGCATCTGTCATTTCTTTAACATGAGACACACAGGATGAGACTGGAGCAAGTCAAATCCCAATATTCTGTGGGTAGCTATTTCGTTCACATGTGGGACCTGTAGAGAAGCTTTGGAGCTGAAGAAGCTAATTTTATTGGAAATGCTGACTAAATATTAACAGAAAGTGATAAGACTGGGTGAAGAGTGACTGTCTTCAGGGCTGTGGCTTCGTGAATAACTGCAGATGTAATAAAAATACAAAAACATGCACAGACTAACTTTAGGATAACAGTTACTTCAGAGCAGGGAAGAAAACAGAATTGTGGAGGGATACGCAGGGTGCTTAAATTCTAAAATACTTTATAAAAAATGAAGGAATCAGAAGCAAATATTAAAAATATTAATTATTCATTATTGGAGGTGGATACATGAGAATTTGTTATATTGTGCTTTGAACTTTTCTGTATATTTCTAACATGTATTAGCTTCTTCTTTGTTTTATGCTTAATAGCAGACGAGGCCCTGGAATTTTCTGTGGAAACAGCCCCATTTAAGGAGGGACTGTTTACCCCTGCCGGCACCCACACCCTTGCCACGTCTCCTAGAGGCAAAGGGACTTCCTCACCCTTTGATTTGTGGTTCAGTTATATGGTGCACCTTGGCCAGCACAGCGAGGCAGACATGACCAAGAATCCAAACGGCCTGACCCCTGAGGGGCCTTCTGTCTTTCCACTTACCCGTGTCCTGCCATCGCCATGAGGGGAACATTCCCAGACTAACCTACTGGCCCAGGGAGAGAGCGACCGTCGGGTGGAGCAGACTCATCCTACCTGGCCAAGCCTCCCCAGCTGAAGCCGGCCTAGCATAGCGTGCCCCTTAACTTACATTAGAGAATCCCCAGCTCTCAGAATTATTGAATATAATAAGCTCCATTGTGTTTAAGGAAATATTAAGGGAATTGAAGCAAATGTAAGCTAGCTAACTGAACATTGGCTCTGATTGAGGCTGGCTTCTGACCCTTTTGAAGTGGCATCCAGGGCCAGAGGTGCTGTCCTGTTGTTTGTGTATCATCAGTGATGGTGAGGAGTGTTCAGATGATTGCTGCAGGTTACAGATCTTTTGATTAGAAACACTGGTCATCTCTGAATGGACAGCTGTGAACGAGACCTTTATCCTCTCTGAGCTCTACTTCCTCATAAGTAAATATATGTGGATGTACAGTTACTTGTTGGCTACGGTTACTGAAGGGCATTTAACTTTTGCAAGATGTCCTCAACTATCACCAGCATTATAAGTTGACCTCATTTCTCCTCATGTCTTGTGCCTTGACCATTTTATTTTTCTTAGCACTTTTGCCAAAGATAGAGCCTGGAGGAGGCAGAGAGATTCAGATTAGCTATAATTCAAGTTTGATGGCAGTGGTGATAAAAACTGTTTTACCGACATGGAGGCTGAAAGTTACTTGCCTCTTCCAGCACATCATTCCCATCTCTCTTTAGAAAAGCTTGAGTTAAATTATTGCAGTAGAGCTCACCCAACTGCAAGGCCTGGTTGTTCCCCCGGTCTTACCTCTGGTTCTCTGTGTCTTCTGCTTTCCACGAGGTAGGCAGTGAGCTCGTGTGGACACGTCAAAGTGAGAAGGCTGGCCATATTCTAGGAGCTTATGAACAAATTGATTTTTATGTGTTAATATTTTGTGTTTGTCTCAGTCCATTCAGGCTGCTATTATAAAATACCATTAACTGGGTGGCTTATAAACTGAAGAAATTTATTTCTTACTGTTCTGAAGGCTGGAAGTCTAAGGTCAGGCTGTCAGCGCGGTCGGGTTCCGGTGAGGGCTCTCAGCCAGGTGGCAGACTGCCGACTTCGCCTCCACACGTGGTGGAAGAGGCAGCGGAGCCCTGGGGTCTCTCTTGCAAGGACACTAATCCCATTCACAAGGGATCCACACTTATTACCTAAAGCACGTTCCAAAGGCCTCACCTCTTAGTACCCTCACTGTGGCATTGGGATTTCTACATATGGTTCTTGGTGGGGACATTCAGACCATAACAGTGTTGATTAATATTAAATCAAATACAGAAAACAGTGGAGAGAACGTATGTCATAGGGCAAAATCACAAATTTGGAGGTGACCTCCTAGCATAGAGTCTTATTCTCCTCCAGGTTAAAAATACAAATTTACAGGAGAACATTTTTAGAGATGTAAAAACATTTGAATTAGCTGGAAGAAGAAAAGGCTGGGGAACCTGCCAGTGTATATGGCTATACAAATACTGTATGGAATATGCAGTATATTGTTTGGGGTCACTGAATTTGTGTAGATAACTAGTCTTAACTTTTCTTGAGTCTAAAAACAGGTTCAAGACTAAACTACTGCTACCATCTATATGCTATAAGTTTAAGTGCATGTCCTCAGTGTAAGGAATAAAGAAAAATTAGGCTCAACACTGGGATGGTGAGAAAGCTTCTGAGGCCAAACCCCAGCGCAAAGCCTCGATAAGTGTTCACAGAATTGATTTGAACCAAACTACATCCCCACCAGTGAGGAAGTAGCCTCCTTGCTTTCCACTTTAATAGAGACAGACGAGCTCCAAAAACTCAGCATATGTTAGAATGATGACTAGCAAATCCCTAGACTTTTGGTAGTGTTAGCGGCTCCTACCCATAAGCACAACATGGGGCAGTTCTTCCTGAAAGTCAGTCATAGGTAGCATTTTTCTGTTAAAATCAGAGCTCATGTTTGCTTTGTCTGGCTGTTTCTTTCATTCAGTGAGGGCAGTGAACTAATGAGACTGGTGTCATAACGGTGACCTCTGTGCGGGCCAGTTCCCTCCTCCTGTCCTAGCACCCCAGGCAGAGCCCTTGACCCTGGCCTAACATCTCGCTTGTCTGCTGAGGGGCTGAAGTAGAGCAGCACGTACAGGAATCAGAACAAGTTCATTCCTACTCATGGGCTGATACCTTCCCTCTCATCTACTGGAAAGTGGAGTTAGACGTAAGCCTTAGTCTGTCCCCACTTAGTCTGGTGGCTGGAATAGGTATATGAAGCCCTGAGAGGATCTCATTAAAGGTCACCTTGTTTGTGGGCAAATTCTGGCAGCCTGTGTATCATGCTTATATCTGGGATGTGTACCCCAAAGGGACTCTGAGTCCTATGTTCTGAATCTGAGCCCCGTGCTCTGCTGTAGATAAATGTTAACAGTGTTTGTATACCTGGCGTGCATAGGCAGACATCTTTACCCGCCAATTTTCTCTTCTCCTACTTCTCTCTGATAAGCTATAAGCCAAAGTAAACACTTGATTTTCTTCTCTTAAGGCTAAATGTGTTCTTTTGTTGATAATTTCCTTATTGGTTTTTAAGAAGTAGCTATATCATTGTTCTGATTATATAAGTAATACCTTCTTCTTGCAAAAATTACCCAAAACTTGAATAAACTATACAACCCAATTTCTCACAGACACTTGGGGTATATGTGTTTCTCCATTTTTATCTACTGTCTCTTATCAGGAAAACATCAATGTTCTATTACATAGGTACTGTCTTCAACCAAGCGTCACACTCAAAGTTACATGCAAAAGCAAGGGTTTTAATAGAACATTTCAACAGAACGCTAAATAACAGAAGAGTTCAAGTGTTGGGTATGTCCGAGGGCTGCGTTTGGGTAAGGTGTAAATGAAACCCTTTTGGTTTTCCCAGCTGTGGGAAACATGGGTGAGAGGGTATGGGAGTTACTTTTTCTTCTCTTGGATCTTGGTGTGGATCTGCAGTGTGACAGTGTTTGTGAAAGGCATGAGGCCACTGTGCTTTGCAGAGGGGTGGCCTGGGTGACCCGTCCAAGCACATGGGCTCCTGCCTCTCTCTTCCTCCTGTGCTTCACTGGAAGGAACCTGCCTGTAAACACCAGGCTGTGTCAAGCTGCTGATTTACTAACCAAATGTATTCAGACACCAGGGCAATACCCAGAACAGCTCTATGAAAGCTGGCCTTGTAATGATGACAGTGAAGAAGGCTTAAACACACTTGTCTTGGCTGGCGGAAGCCTTGGTTTAATGGTGAGTCCCCACTAGGAATCATCCATGATTTGAAAACGCTAAGTAAACATTTAAACCCCAAATTCTGCCTGCCCTAACCCGCACCCAAATCCTCTGTGTGGACAGAGAATGGAAATAATTACAAGTATGAGTCATTAGTCACCACTGCTTTGGGGTATGCAATAAGCAAGGGAATGGGATTTGATTACAAAATTAATTTCAATGTGAAGAATTGTTTTTAAGTTTTCTAAGATGTGGGATTATTGACTGATCCTAGAAGACAGGAACCTAAAGAAGCATTTTCTAATAAGCTATTTCCTTTTTCAGTGATGGAATAAGGAAGGGGACTGACTGGGGTCCTTACCATGGAGTATCAGGTTTGATTTGTTTTAAATTAGGTTGTAAATTACTGAGGTAAAAAGCTCTCTGTTCTAGAGGACACACAGTACAACTTTGTACCGTGTCGAATGCAGCACTGCAAGGTCAGAGGGATGTGGCCAGGGGCTTTTCTGGCTGGAGGCCCTTGAGGAGGCATCGGCTAAGTCAGGGTGGCAGGTGCGCAGTGCACATACTATACTTTGCTCCCTGTGTCCAGGGGAGACAGTCCTGCCAAGCATGCTATTCTGCCACACCGTACTCAGATGTGTCCTCGTGATCTTGCTCATCTGAGAATCTTTCCAGATCGTTGGTATATTGAAATGAGCATATGGATTAAAATCTACTTGTCATACTTAATTAAGGGGAATTTATCTTAATCCAGAGTCTGGCCCTTAGTTTTTGTTTAGGGTCCTAGACTCAGAATCAGGGAGAGTGATTCAAGTTTATCAAGTTACTAGAAGCCAAATAAACAAACACAGAGTCGGAGAGAGAGTGAGATAAGAGAAGAAAGAAAACTGATTTTCAGTGGGCATGATTCCTCCCTAATGGGGGGATGAGATCCCTTCTTGTTAGAGCCCTTGGAGAAGCGGCTTGATATATGTGGAATGAAAGCAAAAAGAGATGAGTAAGTTTCAGGACATTTCCAACCCACCGTGCGGCCCAGCCTGAAATTGCCCTTTCCCACAATAAAACAG